GAGGAGGAGGAGGAGGAGGAAAAAGGAGGAGGGGGAGAAAGAAGGAGAAACGAAGAGGAGGAGGATGAGAACAAGGAGGATTAGGACAAACGAGGAGGAGGAGGAGAAACGAAGAGGTGGAGGAGGAGTAAGAAGGAGAAATGAGAAGGAAAAAGGAGGACAATGGAGGAGGGGAAGGAGAAAAGGAGGAGGAGGTGGAGGAGGAAGAGAAGGAGAAAAGTGAATAAAGGAGACGTAGGGAGGAGAGAGGAGGAGGAGGATAATGTGGTATGATCAGATCTGATCATATCTGATCAGATCTGACCATATCTGGTCATATGTGATGTAATGACCCGCCATAACACAGACTGAGAACACTGCTGATTTCCGAAGTTCTGCTGATGGAATGGATGCCTTGTTGAGATTTCCGCATTCTGCTGTGTTTGCCAAGTGTGTGTGTGTGTGTGTGTGTGTGTGTGTGTGTGTGTGCCTGTGGACTTGCGTGCCGTCTGCGTGCTTGTCTGCCTGAGTGTGTGTGTGACCCAGACGGGTACTTGTTCATTTGGTAGGCCCGTCGGGTCGGTACTTACCTGTGGACGTGGCATTGAGGGTTGCAGCAAGGGGAACACCCAAGTGGCGAAGCTAGCGGCCCCTAGGCCCTTGGAATATCGAAAAAACACTCAAGTGGTCTAGTCGGCCGATACTGCACCGTTGAGGGGTACTGGAGGCCAAGCAGAAAAGACAAAGTTGGCATTTTTGGAGTCCAGTAGCGGTAGGGTAGGTCTACGCCGGTGCCAGTCTGAGTCTAGAGCCTGTACTGGCAATAATGATGTTTTCCTCCGAAACGGAGGAAGTACCGGTTGCTGTGTGTTGGGCAGCGCCATAGCTGTTTTGAGTTGTCCTTTGCACGTCCCGGTCGCCAGGCAGCTCCATAGCTGCTCACTGTGTCCTTTGGCATCAGGACTGGGACCTAGTAGTCCGCCATAGCGTAGACGCTTGAGAGGTGGAAGAAGTCGGGTTGCCATGTTCATGTCAGCAGTAAGGACGAACTTCGGCTATTGGTTTTGGGTCATTCATTCATTGTTGTTATTATTAATTGGAAAAGAGACAAGATTGCTGAAAATAAGGAGGAGGAGGAAGGTGGAGAGAGAAGGGAGATTTGTCATTGGTCTTGCTGATGT